TGACTCCTTGATGCCTCAGGCCCCGCTACGAAGAGATCTAATGTCAGACCTTCGAGTCCGTAAACTAGAACCACTTTTGATTCTGCAATATTTTCGAGAGGTAATTCATTCATTGAATTTACAGGCGAAAGATTTATCATCTCTATAGGATTAAATCTCAAGTTTTTGCAAAGTAAAAAAACCGATGAGATTATGGTTTTCCGAAGACCCATTGAAGCCCAGGGCCAGATCTCGAGCTAGGAGAGGCCCCTTGCCAAAGGAGGATTTTAGCCAACTTCTTAGTAATCGATCTGCCGTCCAATTATAATGCTATTTTGGGAAGGCCCATACTATACGAGCTCAAAGTAGCCACGTCAATCTATCATTATTACCTAAAATTCCCTACTCTCTATGAGGTTGGGGTTATACGCGGAGACAGGCCGAGGCCCAGGCGTGTAACGTAGACCTTCTTAGGCCTCACGTCTGCATGCTGGGAAATGTGCAAAATATGCGGTCTAGGGGACTGAGGTGTAGAAGACCCATTGTCGCCGACCTCTCAAAGATTAAGATAACTGAGGAACATCGAAGAACACCGTCCGATGACCACTTGTCTTTTGAGGAAAATGAAGTTAATCCACATCCCTATCCCGAAGTTCTAATAGTCTCAGTACCAGTGGCCAAGGTAATCATCCCTAGGGTCTTGGTCGACACTGGGAGCGTCCTCAACATATTGTTTACCAGTACGCTTAAATGGATGGGTGTGCCCGCAGCAAGGGGATCGATCAAGCTGGCAGTAGAAGCGGGAGCAGCCCCTCGACAAGTTAAACTAAACACCGAGTTCATAGTGATCGACTCCATGTCACCCTACGATGCCATCATGGGACAGCCCCTGATATTTAACCTCAATGTCTCCTTGTATCACTATGCACTCAAATTCCCTATGCCCTTTGGTGTCGAGGAGATCAAGGGAAACCGAGAGCTCGCTAAGTATGCCGAATGAAAGCCTATCCTAGCAGCCAAAATGGGTCAGCATCTCCCTCGGTGCATGTGGTTTACTCGTCAGGGTCTGACCCAACTCACTGGACCCCTTGCAAAAAGTAAAGGAAAATATCCAATGGAAGAACTGGATACGACACCTGTTTGTACAGTAGACTCGTCAAAGAGCTCCAAATAGGGCATGAACTAAAACAACCTTTCCGAGGTGAAATATCGGAGTTTCTCCAATGGAATCTCAATGTTTTCGCTTAGAATCATGAAGACATTAAGGGTATTGATCCCAAAACATCCTGCCACAGGTTGCACATTGACCCCTCAGTCCAAAAGAAATAGCAGAAGCGACGTCCTCTGAACCCTAAAAGGTATGAGGTACTAAATGAAGAGGTGTAGAAATTATTACACGGTGGGTTTATACGCAAGGCCAAATATCCACAATGGATCGCATGCCCTGTCCTCGTGAAGAAAAACAACGAGGGATTGGAGAGTATGCATAGATTTCACAGACCTAAAAAAAGTATGCCCGAAAGACAGCTTTCTCCTCCCTAGGATAGACCAGATGGTCGATGCTACAGCCGGACATGAGATACTCAGCTTCATGGACAGGTACTCCGATTACAACCAGATTTCCATGTATGGACCAGATCAGGAACATACCTCGTTTGTCATCGATCGAGGTCTTTATTGTTATCAGGTGATGCCATTTGGACTCAAGAATGCCAGAGATACCTATTAGTGTCTCGTTAATTCCATGTTCTCCCACCAGATCAGGAAGACGATGGAGGTTTACGTCAACGACATTTTAGTAAAGAGTAAGCACGTCGAAGACCACTACCAACATCTCGTAGAAATGTTTTATATCCTAAGGAAGCACGGGATGAAGCTGAATCCTAGAAAATGCACCTTCGGCATAAGCTCAGGAAAGTTCCTAAGCTACATGGTGGCAAATCCAGAAAAGATACGGGCTATCATCCAAATGAAGGCTCCAACCGAGCCTAAGGAGGTACAAAGCCTAACTGGAAGAATTGCTGCCCTCAGCCAATTGTATCAAAGTCCACCAATCGGTTCAAGCCCTTCTTCAACACATTACGAAGGAGGAAAAAGTTTGAATGGACCCCAAGATGCCAAAGTGCATTCGACAAACTAAAGAAACAGTTAGCCAGCCACTTGTGCTATCAAAGCCCAAAGTTGGAGACATCTTGAAGCTATACCTAGCTGCATTCGATCATGCCATCAGCGTCGTTTTAACTCGGGAAGGAGACAGACACAACACTCTGTCTATTATGCCAGCAAAACACTCCATAATGCTGAGATCCGCTACTTCCTAGTCGAAAAATTGGCTTATGCCTTCATTGTAGCTTCACGAAAGCTAAGGCCATATTTCTTAAAACACCACGTCGAGGTTCTTCATGAAAGCCTAACACCTCTGGACGAATGGTCAAAAGGGCAGTAGAGTTGGGACAGTTCGACATAAGATACCTACCTCGCACAGTGGTTAAAGGTCAAGCCTTCGCTGACTTTGTGGTGAAGTTCAGTAGCGAGACCCAAGAAGAGCATTCACCAGAAGTCCCTTAGGAGATCTTTGTAGACGGCTTGTCAACCAGAGACCGATCTGGGATGGGTGTCGTCCTAATTAGCCTGGATCTACGATTGTTCTCTGAAGCCCTACGCTTCAAATTCAAAATTTTTAACAACGAAGCCGAATACGAGGCCCTGAGTGAGGATGGCCAGAGGATAAGGAATTCTCCACTTGACTGTACATAGTGACTCCCAGCTAGTGATCAACCAAATCAATGGTACATATCGAACGAAAGAAGAAATGATGGACAGTTACCTCGAAGTTGTTAGAAGAAAACTCAAGGATTTCAAATCTGTTCAGGTCATGCAGATCCCGTGGCCTCAGAACAGTCACACAGATACATTGGCCTGTTTGGCCACCAGCAAAGGAATAGAGGAGTTCAACAACATCTCGGTAGGTCGAATCTCATAACCTGCTAATTAAATAGTCAAGGCAACTCTTATAGTGATCGATCCTGAACCAACCTAGTTAGATGAAATCGTCACACTTGAAAATGAGAGCCTATCGTAAAAATACCATTGAGGCAAGAAAACTCCGAATTAGGGTGACAAGATATACTTTGATTGACAAAATCTTCTATAAGCGAGGATATTCCATCCCTTTGCTGAGATGTCTAAACGAAAAAGGAACGCAATATGCTCTGCGGGAGGTTCATGAAGGAATGTGCGGGAACCATTCTAGCGGACAATCTTTAGCCCACAAGATCCTTTGCCAATGATGCTTTTGGCCTACAATAAAGAGGGACGCCCTTGAGTTAGCAAGAAAATATAACAAGTATCAACGCCTCGCCTCTTTCATCAAAAGGCCACCGCACAAGCTTAACTCCGTGTTCTCCCCTTGGCCCTTTGCAAAGTAGGGGGTCGACCTTATCGGACCCATGCCCACCGGGAAGGGAGGGGTAAAATTCGCTATCGTGTTAGTAGATTATTTCACCAAATGGGCGGAGGCTGAACCACTCGCCAAAATCATTGAGCAAAGAATGACTTACTTCATCTGGAAATCCATCATATGCCAGTTTGGAATACCTCACTCCATTGTCACCGATAATGGAAAACAGTTCGACAACGCTCGGTTTGTAAATTTTTGCGAAGAGCTCAACATCAAGAAACATTTCTCCACACCAAATCATCCGCAAGCTAATGGCCAAGTTGAAGTCATCAACAAAAACATGAAGCACACGTTGAAGGGAAGGTTGGAATCACTAAAGGGAGATGGGCTGAAAAACTCCCCAACGTACTGTGGTCTTACTAGACAACGACGAGAACCAGCACGTGACTATTTTCCCTAGCCTTCAGTGTAGAAGCTGTAATTCTAGTTGAAATTGAAATTCCATCATTCCGTACAGTTGCTTACGATGATGAAGAAAATCAGATGGCCCTTTAAGAGGGACTAGACCTAGTGGAAAAAAGGAGAAATGAGGCTGAACTCAGAAATGCCGTCTACAAACAGTGCAATTCTAGATACTACAACCAAAAGGTACGAAAATGGGAGTTCGAGAAAGGGTCCCTAGTCCGGCGAAGAATCTTCATCACCATAAGGGAGGTCGGAGCTAGATCCTTAGGTCCCAACTGGGAGGGACCCTATAAAGTCACCAAAAATCCTGCCTAAGAAAGCCTACAAATTAAAAGACATGGCTGGGAGACCACTGTCCCCCCGGGAATGCTGGGCACCTAAGGCAGTATTATCAGTTAATGGTCTCTTATTTATGAGTTCACTATTAAACCCTCAATCGTGGTATTAATAATAAAGGTTTCTTATTTACAAGTGTGATCTGTAAGAAAAGCTAAGATTGCAAGTGTTGCAACACTTAGTGAAAATTCTCACAGAGGAAGTACTTCCACCTCGCTATTCGCAAAAAAAGCTAAGTTTGCAAGTGCTGCAACACTTAGTAAAAATCCTCACAGAGGAAGCCCTGCCACCTCACTATGAGCAGGAAAAGCTAAGATTACATGTGCTACAACACTTAGGAAAATTCTTTCTCATAACCCACGAAGGTTGCATCCAGGACGAGCTAAGCCTACATATGTAGCAAGGCTTAGATATGTCCCTCACTGGCATGCTGGGGCTACAATAATGGGTAAAGGAAATCCAAGAGGTAAGTACATCCACAATTTACAGTTCAAAAATACACAAAAATGCACCGAACCTATCAAAATAACTAGCTAAACGAAGGAACATTTTTCAAAAAAGTGCTAAGGGAGTAGGGGGCCTAAGGAGTAGGAAGGTCTTGAGGGCCTTGGGCATTCTCTTCAACGTCCTCCTCAGCAGGGGAGATATGAACTCACGCTGCCTCCGACAGCTTTCGTAACTCTTCCCTCTATTCTTCCAGGGCGTCTACCAAGAAAGCTTTATCGAATTTCGACCTCTCCCTACTGATATGCTTAATTAGTTCGTCCAAGGAAACTAAATAGGCATCTTGAACGAGAGCATCAAACTCAGGAGAGGCCCTCTAGGCCTCCACAGCCTTAACAAAGATGGCCTCTGCTCGCTCCGCCCGTTTAGTTGCAATTTCAACCCTCTTTTTAGCCTCATTGGCCCGAATACATTCTTCCTCAGCTTTTTTCTTCTCAACGGCTGCCATCTTAGTAAGCCTTTCCTCCCATACCTTGAGGGCTTCATTCTCATCAACAAGCTTGCGCTCGGAATCAGACTTGGCCTCCAGCTCCATCCCTATCTTATTCAGTCGATCTTCGTACTCCTTTTTCTTCTCAGCAAACTTCGCCCTCTCCAAGTCAAGGCTTTCACAGAGACTTACGGCTTGATCCCTAGCCTCAAGTGTTTTGTCAAGCTCGGCCTTCACCTGGAAAGCAAAAGTGGAACAAGAGTTAAGAAAAATAATAACTTGAATCCGAACTTTCTAACCAGATCTCAGGAAGATGTACCTTATCAGCAACTGACATCATGTACAGTACTGATTTGTGATTGTGGTGCTGAGCAGAAATAATCGCCTCCCCAAATAGTATCTCAACCAGATAATTCTGTTCTCTTTCATTCCAACTCCTGGTGAGTAGGTTCGCCAACTCACGAAGAGGTGGGAGAAGAGCTGTAGTGGCTTCCCGAGTTGGAGAAGGCCCACGAAGAAAATCAAGGAAAATCTTTGGAAGACGTCCTAGGAGACCTTCCACGCTAGGTCTTTGGAGGTTGGGGAACCTCTCCTGTGACCTCGACGAGCCCACAACAACATTTGGAGGAGAGGGTGACTGATACGAAGTTCCCACAAGAGGGACCTATTCAGGTGATAGGGCCACCGGTGCCACCAACCTTGACTCCATGCGAGTCTGTTTTAAAGGTAGGACTTTCTCTATCTCAGCTTCCTCGAATTGGGTGACCTCAGCCGGGCCTCAGCTTGTTTTCCTTTTTGTGCGACTGCCTTTCTCGCTGCCTTACAGCTCAACATGTTCACGTCACGACTTGAGACAAAATAAAGGAATATATTCAGAAAAGAAGAAAACACAAACATTTGAAAGAAGAAAGATGAAGTATTCGTGGAACGTTGCATATTGGAAGAAGCTGGGAGGGAGGAAGAAGTCCTTGTGGCAGCTGAGGTTGAGGTCGGTACCAATAATTGGGACTGCCCCGCTTGAAACACAATGGTATCAGAATTCACAAATTTACAAGACCGCTATCTCTTAGGTAAAACCCTTATCGCCTCCGCTCTCCGCTCAGTAGCCGAGGTTAGAGATTCCTTCTTATAAACTATAAAGGGACAAAGCCAAGCGATCAGAAACATATAACAAAGCAACTCGGTTAAAAAATGATAGAATCTTTACTTACACAATGTGTGGTAGAGAGTTGGGACCACGTCCTATCTATCCACCTCGGCAGGGTAAAACTGCCAATCTCCCAATATGTGAAAGAATTCTTCCTTCCACCACTTGATCGAGGAAGGGGTATCCAACACCAAAAAGCCCCTAGTCCTAGGTCTAACACTTGTATACCACCAGCCCAAATCTTTCCCATTCTCTTTAAAAGTAAAAAGGGAATTGAATTGTTCTACGGTAAGCTCTGGATTCCCGGACTGATGCCACAAGATCAAGGTGGCTATCGGTGTCCGCCACCCATTAGGACACAGTTGAGTAAGGGCTATTCCCCAAGAAGAATGAAATTTACGAATAACCCTGGAAAAAAGGAGTCTAAGGCCGGCTTGTAAGATGGCCGAGTTTAAAGCCACACAATCCATGGCAAGAGCATCAGCTCGGTCAGAGGGCTCCGGGATTATCATCTCTATTGTACTGAGAATGCTATATTTGGCTCGCCAATTGGCTAATATATCTCCCATCACAACTGATTGATATAAGCTCGCTCCTCATTCAGGGCTATCTCCCTCACTACCCCCACGTGGCCCAACTTCCTATCTTCTAGAACCTTCAGGGACAGGCTCCACTTCTGAAGGATGAACTAAATCTATGGGGTTCACCATAGAGATGGGAATAGGGGTGAGAACCTCTCGACAATCTGAAGAAGAACTAGAGGCGTAGGAAACTGACTTTACTTGTAGGTTACCCCAAGATCGAACCCTAGACTCTTCCGAACTTATGTACTAAACCAAAGAAAATGAGCAAGCAAAGCAATAATAGACGTTTTCAAGAAAAAGGAATACCTGCAGATCTGAGGAAGAAGACCTCACTCTAATGGAAAAGACGCTTGAGGGCATTTTCTCGCTCCCGTGAGGGAAGGTGAAATGCGAAGGCAAAATGAAAGCAAAAAGGGAAAAAGTAGCGCATTTAAAGGGCTATCTCCCTCACTACCCCCACGTGACCCAACTTCCTCACTTCTAGAACCTTCAAGGACAAGATCCACTTCTGAAGGATGAACTAAATCTACGGGGTTCACCATAGAGATGGGAACAGAGGTGAAAACCTCTCAACAATCTGAAGAAGAACTAGAGGTGTAGGAAACTGACTTTACTTGTAGGTTACCCCAAGATCGAACCCTAGACTCTTCCGAACTTATGTACTAAACCAAAGAAAATGAGCAAGCAAAACAATAGTTGACGTTTTCTGGAAAAAGAAATACCTTCAGATCTGAGGAAGAAGACCTCACTCTAATGGAAAAGACGCTTGAGGACATTTTCTCGCTCCCATGAGAGAAGGTGACATGCAAAGGCAAAATGAAAGCAAAAAGGGAAAAAGAAGGGCATTTAAAGGGGCTAAAAACAAAGGGATTCCATTTGGGCCGTTGATTGGGAAAAAAAAAAGCAACAGAAAAGGAGAAAAAAATGAAGGGTCCAGATTGCCTGTATCAAAACTACGTAGTTTTAACAAACTTCTAAAAGAAGGAAATGAGGAGTGCATGACAGCTCACCCCTGACAAGACCATGACACCTGGCATTCTAAGAAATGGAAGATCAAAAGTCAGTTTGTCCCATAGGGACGACCTGACTTGGGGGGTAATTGTTTGTACCGATCTCCGAACTCATTTAAAGTTGAACCTAATCCCCTCTATGCCGGCTTCCCAAATCAGATGTTCAGGTCAGCTCGGAAGGACCACCGCCATAATCTCAACAAACATCATGATTGCAAATTCCCTGTGACTTGTCAAATCACCCAGTTGGATAGGCACTCTCTGGAGGGAGTGACTTCAGCACCGCCTCATCCCACCAATCGGTTAACATGGCTCCCTCATCTATGGCAGGTCATCATTACTCGAGGGAACGTTGAAAAGATGACTGCCAACCTTGTCATCCAATCATAATGAAGGTCGGTGGCGCATTATTCGAGCTTATCACCTCGCTGATTTGATTGACATGATGCTGTTCCAACCAAAGACTTCCTATAAATAATGAGGGGTCCTTCCATAAGGGGGGTGGGTAAAAAAAAGGAAACATACTTCAAATATAAAAACCAAAGAGAATCAAAAGAGGGTTGGTGGGTAATAATCTCTATGATAGTGAGCGTCAACAACATACATTCTTGGTCTTTCTCACAATGGAAACACAAATTACCTTTTCCTTTTTAACAAAGTTGGCTCGAGATCAAGATTTACAAATTTCGACGTCAACAAGTAAATATTATTCCGATTCCATTTTTTCAAAAATTTCTTTTCAATTACAAATTTTTTGAATAAAATAATTTTGCACGTAGATTCATAATTTTTCTTTACTTTTTTACAAAACAATATAAAAAATATCACTTTTTACAAAATTATACATTAAACATGCGTTTTGCAACTGGGTCAATGTTCTCGGAGTAGAGAAATGTAAAAAATTAATTGTTACACAAATTTTCAATAGCCTAACTTTAGTGCTATTCTATGTATAAAATTACGCCAAGCAATGGTCCGTTTTCGTCGGTCCTATTCACGTAAATATGAAATTGAAGTGATAAAGCTCAAGATATTTCAGTGCCAATGACTTGATAGAAATTTTGGAATTTAAATTATATAGATGCATTTGAAAATAAAGATTAAAGAATTTAAAAATAAAATTATTTAGCTTATAATATGATAAAGTATTTTTATTGATAACAAAGTCCATGCATCTTCAAAGGCTATGTTTTAGGCCATTGTGGTTGGTGAAGTCAAAAAGTAAGCCTATTGAGTGGGCCTCAATAAATAGTCATTAGAAGTTTTAGGACACAATATTCTAAAATGGTAATTACACTCACAAATCGATTTCACTTTCAGCTTCAAAAATCAAGTTCAATACTTATTTATTCAAAAATTAAGTCATAATTCACTTTATTATTATTTATTATTTTTATTTTTTAAATTCTCTCCATCATTTATCTTCTCTTTAAATACCACCAGCAGCGTCTTGCACAATTCAACGAAATTGATGGACCGACCAATCCAACATTGCCACATGCAGCGGCGCTAAGTACCACTGTGCACAGTGTTGCATTAGGTTGCACCGTCGCGATGCTGATGTTGCTAGATCCAAACTATAAGTATGTGTTGAATCATATACCATCTTTTGTGGGGTAATGAGGCCCACACATTATTGAAAAGTGCATTTCAAGGTGAATTTTCATCTATCAGAGGATCTAGATTTAGTGTCAGACCCGTTCGATTAGAATTGAAGAGCAGATAGGATCGGAGGATGATTTGTGTTTCTATTTACATGGATATGACGAAGCTCGGTGCTAGAGGTAGTTTGGGATTAGTGACTCTGTTTTTGAAAATGTGGGTGGTGGATGTGGCGATTCTAACGGTGGAGTCGACGACAATGAGGAGAAGAGGGGTGATTGTTTTAGGTGGATTGGGGTATTCGGGTGGTTTCTTCCACCTCTAACCTGATCTGATTTGCTTAGCCAAAGTTTTTGGGTTGTTTTTGTTGGTAGTATGCAAATGGTGGTAGTAGTGCAAATGGTGATGGTGTGGCGGTGGTGCTAATGGTGACGGCGCGGTAGTGGCAACGACTAGGTGATGGTGGTGGTGAGATGATGATTGTTTTGGTGGTGGTGCAAGTAATGGTAATGGTGGAAGTGGTGGCGATGGTGGTAAGGTGGTGTGATGTTTGGTTGATGTCTCTAGTGGGGTGGGATAGGATAAATTATTGGAGTGATTGTGACCGATAAAATGGTTAATTTATGACCAATAAATAATATATGATATGTAAAATATATAATTTTTAATCAATAAATAATGTGACCTAAAAAAATGTGAGTTTGTGATTAAATTTGTAATCGTATGATCAATTAATTTAATAATTTCTGACCAATTAATTTGATAGTTTGTTATAGTGACATAAGTTGGTCCTATAAAAATTTTAATTTGTGATCGATAAATAATAAATGACTTATTAATTTGATAATTTGTGATTGAGAAATAATCCATGATCAATCAATCAATTTAAAATTTGTGATTGATACATAAGTTGTGACCTATAAAATTTGTGATTTGAAATTGTAATATTTTATAATTGTGACTCTTATATAACCGTGACTATAAACTATATAGTATTGTAGCTTTAATATATTTAATTAATAAAATTTAAATTATGACATGATATTTGAAACTTTAAAGCAAGTTCTTAATCTTGAAATTATACCTTCAAACTATCTTTAATATATATAATTTTAATTTTGATAGTTATATTTATATAGCTCAATCCAGCTAACAAAATTGATTAAAATCAAAATCAAAGTTAATAATAAATTTTTTAACCGTATGTTTATAAAACCCATAACTTTTCATTCCATTTTCTATCAAATTTTATCAAAATCTACTAACAAATTGATTTTTATCTAAACCAAACGAGGGCATAATCCAATGCACATCTATAACAACTTTGATGCATACAATAGCATTAAAATTGGGTGATTGTATTACA